GTGATTTGATTTGCATTTCCCTGATAGCTAAGGATGTTGAACATTTCCTTAAGTGTCTTTCAGCCATTTGAAATTCTTCTATTTGAAAAATTCTCTGTTTAGGCCTATACCCCATTTTTTAACTGAGTTATTTGGAATTTTGATGTCTAATTTCTTGAGTTCTTTATATATTTTGGAGATCAGTCTTTTGTCTGATGTGGGGTTGGTGAAGATCTTTTACCATTCAATAGGCTGCCTTTTTGTCTTATTGACCGTGTTCTTTGCTTTACAGAAGCTTCTCAGTTTCAGGAGGTCCCATTTATTTTTTTTTTTGTTGCTCTCAGTGTCTGTGCTACTGGTATTATATTTAGGAAGTGGTCTTCTGTGCCCCTGCATTGAAGACTACTTTCTACTTTTTCTACTATCAGGTTCATATATTTATGAATTTATATTGAGGTCCTTAATCCATTTGGACTTGAGTTTGTGCATGGGGTTAGATAAGGATCTATTCGCATTCTTCTGCATGTTGACATCCAGTTATACCAGCATCATTTCTTATAGATGCTTTTTTTGTATAATTCTAGCTTCTTTGTCAAAAATCATGCATTCATATGTGTATGGATTAATAGCCAGGTCTCCAATTCGATTCTATTGGTCAACCTGTCTGTTTTTATGTCAATAAAAGGCATAAAAAAACTTTTCATTACTGTAGCTCTATAATAGAGCTTGATGTCAGGGATGGTGATGCCTCCAGAAGTTCCTTTATTGTACAAGATTGTTTTGGTTATCCTATTATTTTTTGTTTTGTTTTGTTTTTCCATATAAAGTTGATTATTATTCTTTAAAAGGTCTGTGAATAATTTTGTTGGAATTGTGATGGTAATTGCTTTGAATCTATAGATTCCTTTAGGTAAAATTGCCATTTTTGTTATGTTGATCCTACCTATCCAAGAGCATGGGAGATTTTTCCATTTTCTGATATCTTGTTTAATTTCTTTCTTCAAATACTTAAAGCTTTTGTAGAACAGGTCTTTCACCTCTTTGGTTGGTGTTACCCCAAGATATTTTTTGTTATTTGTAGCTACTGTAAAGGGTAATGTTTCTCTGATTTCATTCTCAGCTTCATTATCATTTGTATACAGGAGGGCTACTAATTTTTTTTTTTTTAGTTGATCTTGAATCCTGCCACATTGCTGTAGGTATTTATCAGCTGTAGGAGTTCCCTGCTAGGGTTTTGGGGGTCATTTATATATACTATCATGCTATCTACAAATAGAAAAGTTTGATTTTTTTTCTGATTTGTATCCACTTGATCTCCTTTTGTTGTCTTATTTCTCTAGCTAGAACTTCAAGAACTATGTTGAGTAGATATGGAGAGAGTAGACAGCCTTGTCTTGTTCCTGACTTTAGTGGAATTGCTTTGAGATTCTCTCCATTAATTTGATGTTGGCTATCGGCTTGCTGGATATTGCTTTTTCCTTTTTTATATTTAGATATGTACCTTGTATCCCTGATCTCATCAAGACCTTTATCATGAAGGGGTGTTGGAGTTTGTTGAATGCTTTTTCAGCATTCATCTGAGAAGATCATATGTTTTTTTTCCTTTAAGTTTATTTATATGATGGATTACATTGGTAGATTTTCATATGTCAGATCATACCTGCATCTCAGGGATAAAGTCGACTTGATCATGGTGAATTTTTTTTTTCAATGTGTTCTTGAATTCAGTTTGCCAGTATTTTATTGAGTATTTTTGCATCAATGTTCATGAGTGAGATTGGTCTGTAATTCTCTTTCTTGGCTGAGTCTTTGTATGGTTTTGGTATCTGGGTAACTGTAGCCTCATAAAAAGAATTTGACAATGTTCCTTCTGTTTCTATTGTGTGGAACAATTTGAAGAGTATATGTATTAGGTCTTCTTTGATATTCTGGTAGAATTCTGTACTGAAGCCTTCTGGCTCTGAGCTTTTTGGTTTTGATTTTTTTTTGTTTGTTTGTTTGTTTTGTTTTTGAGAGAGGGTGTGTCTGTAACTTTGGAATCTGTCCTGGAACCAACTCTTGAAGACCAGGCTGGCCTCAAACTCAAAGAAATCCACCTGCTTCTGCCTTCAAGTACTAGGACTAAAGACATGCACCACCTCCACCCAGCTCATAAATTTTATCATTTTTGTTGAGTAAAGTTGATATGAACTGAAATGAGATAGCAGACAGCATTGTTTCTTCCTGAAAGACTGGTTATGGATGTTAAATGATCCTAACTGTGATTATCCTAAGGGATTGCTAAGTAAGTTCCTCATAATTCATTCAAGAATTTGTGGAGACTGACGTTGCAGGGCCTTGTCAGTTTTAGAGACTAACGGTCCCATTGAGAATCTACTCATGGACATAAATTCACACAGCTTGTGTGTGTGGATTCTGATTAAGTACCAGTGTTTCCATCTTAGATGGGCATGAAGAGCTTCAGTGATTGTCTGTTTCCTTTCCAGATTTCAGGAGTTCCCAACACATTACTGTGTTATAAATGATAATCTATAATTTATTTTCCTTTCAGCTTTGCTCCACTGATTCTTTGTTTTACTATATTCTTCCTAAGATCTGTTTCTTAAACATCTCTGGGCTAGTTTCCTAGGGAGCAGTCTCCACTCCACTGTCATTGTTTTCCCAGCTCTCATAGAGCATTGAGGAGTGAAGGGGGGGGAGGGGGGGACTGAAACCAAGCCAGAAGTGTGAAAGTGCTGGCTTGAGCAGAAATGGCAGTCACAGGGAGTCCAGCACTGCTGAGTTTGTTGCAGCCATGATGAAACAGAAGTAAATAGACTGAAAATTAAGAGTTTTCATTGATTTATTGCCATCTAAAGATAAAATAGTTGATATTTTTATGTGAATTTCTCTTTAAGATCTTGAGGAATTTGGCCATTCTACATTTCTAAATGTGAATATCACATTGATTTGTAACCTGCAAAGCACATTTTACAGAACTGTATAGCTGTGCCATTGTTGCCTAGAATATGATGTAAAGAAAAGTTCACACAAGCACATCAGGTGTGTAAAGTGTCTGCCTGGTGGATGTTCTCTGTTCATTCACCTCACAACTTTGCATCATTCCAGTTTGTAGAATTTTAATCCCCAGACATTTAGCATTTGCACTAAGTCCTTAGCCTTTTCAATACTTAATTTTATTTCATTTTACAAATGACTGTCAGGATTTAATGTCTTCAGATAATACCTTAAGCAAATCTGTATATGGTAGCAACAACCACAGTAAAACCCAGGTCAGAATTTTTGAGAATATCAAAAAAGGATATGTTCTTAAATTGTAACTTTATCAATTGCTTGAACTCTCTTTCTGTTTTCATGTTTAGGAAATGAGAGTAAGGACATAAAATTTCTTCCCTAGCCAGATGGATTCACTATTCTGTGATTTTTCTAACTGTCTGATGTTGAATCATTCTTTTATATTCTAATGGCAATACTAATTCAGTGAAAAATAATTTAAAGAAGGTAGCATACTCGTTATTAACTAATAATAAAGTATTTAACTGGATTGTTATATGAATTAAGCCTTTAAGACACTGCTAATGCAGGGGGTGTTTTCCTATAACTGATATTGCATATCAATATTAATTTTAGTATCTTGTTGTTATAGAAAATAGGCACAGGCTGAGCGGTGGTGGCGCACGCCTTTAATCCCAGCAGTCGGAAAGCAGAGGCAGGCGGATCTCTGTGGGTTCGAGGCCAGCCTGGTCTACAAGAGCTAGTTCCAGGACAGGAACCAAAGCTATAGAGAAATCCTGTCTCAGAAAAAAAGAAAAGAAAGAAAGAAAATAAAAAAGAAGAAAAAAAAAGAAAAATTATAGGCACACCAAAATACAAAAGTTTTAGGTGCAAAAATGATTCTGAGGCAACTTTAGCAGTGAGTTAGGTGCTTTTAGGCAGTTTTCATTAATAGGTATGAAGATGCAGAGTTTAATCTGAGAAGGGGATTAATTTTTGAGATGCTTAGTTCAGAATATGGGCGAGCATCTCCAGTCTGGACTTGTGGGCTGCAGTGGTCCCTGCATGAGCGTTCTTCACCATTCACTCTTCTCCCTTTTCTTAAGTATGCTATTATGTTTTTGATGGACAACTCATGGAGATTAAGAGCAAATGGTGGAGATGCAGAACGTGCCTTTTTTTCTTCAGTGTGGGATCACCGGTAGAAGTACAGCATTGTGCTCAAATGTGGGCTTTACTTTTTGTTATGTTTTCCTACATTTTAATATGCCACATCAGGCTGTCCAGTGTTCACAGATTGAAGTAGCTTTTGCTTCATTTGGCATACTTTTTTTTTTTTTTTACTTTTCCATATTCTTATCTGGCTGGCCACTGATGAAGTAGTCAGTATCTTCAAGCCAGAAAAAAAATCCTTATTTTCGGGAAGTTAATAACTTCATAAATATAGGGAGAAGTTAAAATGTAACCATTTGCTAACATAAAGAAACATAACAGAAAACAAATAGTATCAATTAACTGAAAGAGAATAGTTTTGGGGGGAGCATTGAAATCACCAAGGAGTCACAGGGCCAAGGCAAAAAGCAGGCCAGTTAAATTGGAGAACTAATGCAAGGCAGCTTTCTTCACCAGTGTGCCACCGCCTGAAAATTAGTAGAAGAGAGTCCTGAGGAGCTAACAGTGCGCCCCAGGTGCTGACTTCCCTGAAATAGGAAGTGATGGAGGAAATTTATAAAAGAAACCCTCAGGGATTCCTGTGTGATCCCTTTAATCCTTGAATTGTCAAGCCACATGGAAAATAATAGAGCTGTGTCGTTCCAAGACTTAAGTGGTATTAGCTTTTTGAAAGAAAATGTTAGCCTTTTCATATCCATGGACAAGAATAGGGTCTGTATTCAAATAGAAAAGAGTAACTCTGAGCCAAAGATGCATGCCTTTTTTTCATTTTTAATATAGTATTGTCTATGAATAAGCAGGCTGTATCGGAAAGGAAAATTAGAGTCTATGTTTTATTTTTCTTTTTAAAACAGATGATTCAACGAGAAGCAGACGTAAAAAGTAAGGTGACTGCTGTGGCATTGACAGACTCTGTTCACAATGTGTGGCATCAAGAAGCTGGCAAAACCATCCGAGAATGGATGAGAGAGGTGAGGCATGGTTTTGTTTGGTGCTGAGATTAATGGGCATGAGCCTTTGTATCCGGAGTCCCCACCAACTTATATTGCCTCCCACCCCACATTCTCAGAATGTTGAGATAGAATAAAAAGTCTAGATACAGTTAAAATAATAAAAGAAAGCTTTCAGAAGACAAAACTTTTTGAAAGAATCCTTTCTGCCCACTACTGAATAGAATATTATGTGTGTATACAGTTTGCATTAGGATTTTAGGTGATGACAGGGTTGATGTTATGATTCTTATTAACTCCTGTTGAATGTTTCTGGCTATATAGTATTGTAGTTACTTAATTACCAGAAAGAAGCTTCATGTATATTCAGTCCTGTCCTTTCCTTCTGGGAATGTGATCAGGATGAGCCATAAAGAAATTGATTTGCTCCATACTGCCAATAGGGGTAGAAGCGGGGGGGGGGGGGTGGGGGGGCGGGGCTGATTGGAGACTTTTAGAGCCACTCAAACTGACCATGGCCCTGCCTCCCTACATCGAGGGAAGCTGCTTATTGCATGTCCCTGCTGAGTCTGAAAACTAACAAGGATCTACCAAACATGACCCCTGTCTTTTTCAAAATCTTCAGCTTGTTAGTCCATTGGTCCTGTTACAGACATCTAGCTGAAAACTCATTTCTGTTTATATTTACCTTGCTGATATCATAAGAATTTGACATTAGCTTCATGGGAATAAGTCAATAATGAGCATATGCATCAGGAATCTCTCCAATATCATACTTTCTCCTGTGCATCCCTTCTCCATCAGAAGTTCTTTATGAAAGTCAATCCATGTGACAAAAGCACACACATACACACGCACATGCTCTCACATAAACCTGCACACAAAAAGGTTAAAATATTTGTAAACTATCTTTCCTCCTAATAAAGATTTGTAGCTACAGAAGAGGGTGCCTCTGTAATTTTATCCTGTTTACTAATTTCATTGTTTTACCAAATTCTGGCTTAAATTTGGAAATAAAACAATACTGGCAATTGCTTAGTCATTTCTATTATAGTAAAGACTGATAAAGGTATGGTTTAGTTTATCTCATAAGCAACAAATTAATGTGATAAAGTTTTTTTATACTAAGCATTTTTACTATGAAACTCTTAATATTTCAGGCCTATTAATTTAGCAAACAACAAATTAAATATTAAATTTTTTATCTTGTAATTTTAAAATAGCATTTTTTCCTTATAAAAGGGTCAAAGAATATTGCTTTAGCAATCCCTCCAACTGAAACTTTTTTCAGACGAAGACCAACTGTGGATTCTAAGCCACAAGGAGGGCTCAAAAGTGTGTTAAGGGACCTTAAAGGCACTTGTGAGGTTCTCGTACTGTTGATGCTGAGGGTGTGATATGCCCTGACTTGAAAGTCTGTCGCCAAGCCAGCAATACAGTTCATGTATACCCTCCCTGATACCCTCTGACTCTGACTGTAGGCCTGTCTTAGTCAGGGTTTCTGTTGCTGTGAGGAGACACCGTGACCATGCACCTCCTATAAAGGAGAACATCTGATTGAGCTAGCTTCTTAGAGTTTCAGAGGTTTAGTCCATTTTCATCATGACTGGGAGCATGGTGTGCAGGTGATAATGGTGCTAAAGAAGGAGCTGAGAGTCCTACAGCAACGGGAAGTAGTCTGTAAGACTAGGAGCAGTCTGAGCACAGAAGACCTCAAAGTCCTCCCCCACAGTGACAGCCACACCTCTGAACAGTGCCACTCCTTTTGGGGGGCCATTTCCATTTCATTTCAAACCACCACAAGGCCCTAGAAACATAACCTGGTTATGGTACATGATCATGTTTAAGGCACAAAGCCTCCATATTAAAGATTAGTCTTTAAGACCATAATTACAATGCGTGCAAGTATAATAAACAGAAATCAAAACCTAAACTCAACCAATAAATCAAGCTTCTCTAATATCTTGCACAGTTAGCTCTTATCTTCTTTTCTTTTCAGATGTAACATACCAAATTCTACAGTCTTTTTACTAGCATCTTATTATCTTATTATGTTTTGATCGTAGTCACACAGACACACACAGATTTTCCTTTGTCTACCCTCTCCACCTTCACCTCTGTATTGGGATGGAGAGATGGTTCAGCCATTCAAAGCAGCTACAACTAGCTATGGTTCCAGCTCTATCCAGTATATCTAGTACTTTCTGGCCTCTGTGGAAACCTGCATACACATCACACACACACACACACACACACACACACACACACACACATTTTTTTAACTTTCAAATCCATTTCATGACAAGATGGCTCAGTGGATACAAGAACTTGCTACACGAATCTGACGTCCTGACCTCAATCACCAGATTCCAAGGTGGAAAGAGCAAACCAACTCTTAAAAGGCCTACACTTGCAGTCCATGCACATGCATGCACACACACACAAAATTAAATTTAAAATTAAACAAGATAAAGACAAAAATTAATTCCATGTCTGCACAAATGTTGTCCACCCTTGGTACAAGTCAAAGCATGTCACTCTGCACTGTGGCTAACAGGCCCTTATGTTCCTGTTACTAGTCCCCGCGCTATGGATTTTCCAAAGGAAAATTTACAGCCACAAAGATCTGCAAGATCATAATCTTGGCAAAAGAAACCTTTTACACTGAAACACTTAACTTTTGTAAGCATTCATTATGCTACGTTCATTTTCTCCTGTGGACACACACATGCTAGTTAAGTGATCCATTCCATTATCTTGCCTCTGGCCAAGGACTTCTGTCTTTGCTTAGGGTGTCACATCTGAATCTTAGCATAGCACTGTTGGTGCCTCTGCTCTAACTCACTTTCTTGAGTATTCTGTGCACCAGAGAGTAAGATCTTGGAAGCTAATATTACTGTGTCTGAAATTCAGGTAGTTTTCCTAGTTTGTGGCCACCCAGGATTCCCCATCCCCTGTGAAGAACAGGAGTAGGGGCCGATTGGGGACTTAGGGAGAGGGGGAGATAAGCATTAGAACAACTTGAACATAAATTTGGTTTTAGACAATAGGAACACATCTCAGGGAGGTACATGTGAGAAGATACGGTTCAAGCAGGTTAAATTCATGAGTAATCTCTGTACGTCTTAGCTTACAAATTTCAAAGCCTGTGTCATTTTATTTCACGTTTTTATATTGCAAACATTTTTAACTTGTTTTACTTGCTTTCTCTATACTTTTCTTAGTAAAACTTAAATGCAACATGCAGAATGACACACACAGATGGCACACACAGATGGCACACACACATGTGCACACTCACATGTGCACACACACCCCTCAAGCTTGGTTTTCATCCTTTCCGATCCTGCATAGGTACTTGCTGTTGCACAAGACATTTGACATCTTCACGTTTAGCTATAGGCCTCTTCCCTGTCCTGATTTTGCAGGAGAGATGAAAGCTTTCATCATGTGGGAGATGGAACTGAAATCTCAGAGTCATAAAGTGGCAGTTTGTATTTCTCTTTCAACATTTGAGCCAGCAGTGATCTGTTTTTAAAAAATGGACAAAAGTTTGAGTCAGCTTTTAAAAGTCATTTTAGAAAGATGACTAATTGTCTACAGATTATAATGTGCCATCTCTTCTATTAACACTAGAAAACTGGGTGAGGCACAGTTCTGCACATGTGAGGTGCAGGTGATCCGTATCGCCTGGGTGATAGCCAACTTTCATCAGATTTGGAGGCACTAGTAGGATGAATAATAATTAAAATATATACCTAATCGCTGCCTGTCTGTTGGCAGTGCTAATTGCTGTCATTGAAGAGACTGAATTGTTGAAGAGAAGCGGAGAAAAAGAGAAAGTCATTCTTCATTGAAGCTATCCCCCTGTATCACTGGGAGCCTAATTTTAGAACCTATAGAAGTCATGATTTTTGAATTTATTAGAGGCCATGATGAATGATAAAACAAATCATTCATTTACATATCTTGACACTGCTTCGGAGAATACTTATTTCTTACAAGCGAGTGTCACATTGTATATAAAAGATGGCTAATTGTGTGCTAATCGTCTGCATTATCTCAAATTCTCTGATGTGCTAGTCTATCAATGGTAATATTAATTTTTCTTATTTCCAGTGTACGAACTATCTTCTAAAACCCTATTTCTTTTATAATTTCTGCTTCTCTTACCTTGTGTAATTTTATGTTTAGCTGCTAATTAAGATGAGAAGTGCGTATTATAGAACTTATCTCCATTTCAACCATCAGGCGTTTGTCAGACATGAAAAATACGAAATTTTATCTTTTAATTATAAAGAGAGTGAAAGCATTTAAGAACATTACTAGATGTGTTTGTTTTCATGGTTTTTTTCCCAACACAGTTCAATAGTTTCATTGATCTACTGTTTCTTAGAAAAATCTGCCTTGCTTTGTGAGCTTGAGTCTGTAATCTCATACAGCAAACCCTTCCTTTATGTTATCCCTGCTCTCTCTGGTCCCAGAACAGTAGGGTTGCCTTGACAAATCTATTCAAAAGCCATTCCTCAGCCTTTATTGGTGGGGACTGGGGCCTTTGAAATTTTCTCTTCACTGCAACACAGCTGACATCTTCTTCCAGACAGAATGAATTAAGGAAATACAATAAGACACTTGATCTACCAGTCAAGGACCCTTCCTCAGTGCGAACGGATTCCATGGTGCACAGCCAAGGCAGCAAGCATCTAAAATGCACAATACACACTATTTACCAGGATAGCGGTCACCCGTTTCACCAGCATGATTGATGGGAGGGCTTCTGTTAAAATAGAATCTGTCTGTGGAAATTCTTTGTGTGTGTTTATCTGTGTTGTGAATACCTTTAAAACTATATAATCACATCTTTTCCACCAGAATTTAGATATATGCTTACGTTTATAAAAGAAATGGAATGTTATTTATTTATCTGAGTTGCGAATGTTTGTTATCTGAGAGAGTGAGCATTAAGAGTGAAGTTTTGTGTCCTCTGTCACCGCTCCAGCTCACCAGGCTGTGTTCGTGTGTAATTTTAATATACCCTTAATTGATGTGGATCCAGAGTAAAAATTCAAAGGAAGTATGGGCCAGATTTGAGGCTTTTTTCCTTCACATCTAACTTTTCTTAGAAATAGATTAGATTATACTTTGCAGATTATGTATCTTAGCATCAACACAAATTTTTTTTGTTGAATTAGAAAATGTAAATTTTTCCACAGTCCTTAAAAATTAGTGACTGTTTATGTATGAAAAATATTTTTAATTGACGGAATATAAATACACTTCTAGTGATTTATTTTATAGGATAAATTTACCTCTTCAACCTAAAAATGTAGTTTTCCTTTCAATTCTACGTGATCAACGTTGTATCTGTTACACTGCAGAACCTATGTGATCAACATTGTATCTGTTACACTGCAGAACTTATGTGATCAACATTGTATCTGTTACGTTGCAGAACTGCTGCAACTGGGTCTCCAGCTCAGAACCACTGGACACATCAGTGGAGTCCATGCTGCCTGACTGTCCCCGAGTCTCTGCAGGTATGTGCCCGGTGGAAGTGTGAAGTGTGCTCTACAGGGAAAAAAATGCTGCTTTGATGAAAATTCTGTTTCATAAATTAAATATGTTGTTCTATCTCATATTATTCATAACATATCACATTTGTCTAAAACACTTGCTCAAATTGTTTAGGTAGCTTATAATGCTTATCAACATACTTAGTAATATGATGGCTGAAGACTTCAAGAATAACTGATAGTTTCTTAGGCAGGTGAGACTATGCCTAAAAGACAAGAACTCAGTAGCCATTTAAAACCTCAGTAAGACGGTTGTCTCTAAGTACCAATCCCATATTTCAGGCAATCATGTCATCTAGAGAAAAATTATTTTTATGCAAAAAATTTCATTGGACCTTCTGTGTAAGGTAGGATTTGGATGTAGGAAGATGTGCAAGGTCGTATCCCATGGGGGGAAAACCAGCAGTGGAAGGAACCGAGACAAAGAGGATCTGAAGATGTTGAGAGTTGGTAAACGCAAGCATGTGTTGCCTACTGAAAGCAAGGCAGTGAAACAGTTAGACGGCCAGGAGCAGCTGGACTCTGGGATGTGTGAGGAAGGCATCCATTGCCTGCCTAAAGGGTTTGTTTCTGAGCACCTAGGTCAAGAAAGTGCTGTTACGTTGGCCATTGCTTTCTTGGTTTTGCTTTTGCAGCTCCCAGTAATTTTTATGAAAACACAGAGTGAGCAGTGTATCTAGTGAGAACTAGTGAGAACCGCTCACTTGCTGTGAGTCTGAATGCTGGAAAATGAGCAGCAATTCAGAACACAGCCTAGTCCATGTCTCAGTCACCGATGACAGCTAACCACCAAGTGAGTGTGTTTGTTTTATGAAGGTGACCATTCAGTGGCGAGTTCAAATTCTAGGTGGTGAAGTGCTCTTTATAGCTAACTATCATTACCATTAGCACATAAACTTTAACTGAGCCTCACTGTTACCATAGCTAAATATTTTAGGTTTGTGACTCGAGGTTTAATAAGAGAAATAAAACTATGGTGAGATACCTATGCTGCGATATATTTGTTTATGGATACTATGCAACCTGTTATTGTTGCTCGTGGTGGCTTTCTGCTGGAAATCACAGAATTTGCAAACACTGACTTAGTACTCCTAGGAAAAGGCAGAGTTAGTTTCTTGTGAGCTTCTGGTCATCTCTTTATCACCCAGTCAATGCAAGCTCCTAGTTTATATGTGTTTCTACTTAAACACACATCATATCACATGTATTGTTTACTCATTATGTTCAAATTCATGCCCAACAGCACTGTAATTCATGCCTGGGCACAGCTTACATATATATTTCTCTATAAGGCGTTTCATAATTTTCTTGAGATAAGGAATATTAATTAGAAAGTACCATAGTGCCATTTCTGGGCAATCATTTGAAATTGTGAAGTCAAAACACAAAAATGAGAAAAATATGACACTCGGTAGTCCATGAAAAGTCTACTTTTTCTGGTATGATTTTTAAATAACTTCTTTTTTGACTCTTTGGTAGTTTCACATCATGCAGCCCAATACCATTCTCCTCCAGTCACCCTTGTCCTCCCCTCATCCCTTCCACATCCCCTATAAGGAAACAAATCAAAGTAAGCAATCAAGCAAACAAAAGCAAAAGCAAAAAAAAAAATACATAAAACAAACAAACATAAAAATCCCACTACAAAATCCACAAAAGAAAAGTTTCTTTGCATCTCCTTCTCTCCACCTTCTCCAACACCTAGTCATTCGTCCTGGTGGCAATGGAGGATTGTATGATAAACAATACAAGGCATATGGTTTCTAGTACACCATCATCACTGGATCCTAACCAGAACTCCTCTGGGATATCTTGTGTCTGTCACTAGTCTTAGAGATCTTTTGGGTATCATTCCACAGGATCAGTCTTTTCACCAGCTCCAATCAGTCATACATGGGTAGACACTAGGGTGGGTCAACTCAAGGCCCTTCTGTGGGCCTGGATAGTAGCCAAGCTGGTCAGTCCAGGCCCCTGGGGCCACCCACCTTGGGCTACTGGGTAGAATCAGCTCCCCTACATGCATGCCCTCGGGGTCCTTTCATGCTAGCCTGTGGTGAGGGGTGGCAGCCATCTCTCCAGCGTGCAGGGGCTAGCTCTCTTGGTGTAGTGGCCAGCGAAGGATGTGGCAAGCTCAACATGGGCCTCTGATTTCATCTTGCATGGTTCCTAGAGCCTCCCGAGGTGACACAGGCCACAGACATCCTCACTGACCCCAGCTGTAGCTGGACCACAGATACAGCCATGGCCCTTGGCAACAACTTGGGCCTAGTAGAGAAAAGTCCTCCTTTTTTTTATGACATTAAAACTGAAACAAGAAGGCAGAGTAGAGTCTTATTGAAACAATTATTCAAATTTGTGTAACTCTGTCTATGATTTAGGGGTTACAAGTAAGTTGTAGTGAGCAGCTGGATTCAGAAGTCTGGAATACAGAGAGAATGAAGACCCATTATTTTATCAGTATAGATGACAGGATTTTTTTTCCTTTACTGGTATTTGACTAGAGCTAGTTAAACAGGTTTTACAAGGACAAAAATTTTTATTTGATACTGGGATTTTAATATCCAAAACAAACAATTATGGATATTAGATGTAAAGTAGAAAAGAATAAAAATTGGCTAGAACTCATAAGCAAGAGCTGGAGTCCACAAAGATGGACTGAGTTTACCTCTTATTGTCTCTGTTGTATGCTGTATATATGTCCTATAGAATCCTATGTCCTTTATCATAGTCTTAAATAATACATCCTCTTTTCAGTCATCAGAGATACTGAAGGGAAATTCAAGGGAAGGAAGAACAAGAGCAGTTCTTGCTACTTCTTTACACCCTAAGATGAACCCAAAAGATAAGTGTCCATATGTATATGTAAGAAGTGGGTCCTACTCTGCAGCTTACAAATCCGTGTCTCACTCCCACCCCCAAACACACACACACACACACACACACACACACACACACACACACACACCCTTATGTACCTTCTTAATAATAAGCATAGGAAAAAGAATTTTGAAAAATGTATTTCAACCTAGTCAAATGTCTAGTTTCACACTCATGTGCACCTTCTTACTACACAGTCAAGTAGAGAGTGATGGCTCACATCTGTGACTCTATTACTTAACTTAGGGGGATGATTACCACAAGTTCAAGACCAGATTGGTTAGTCCTCAAGTAGGAGTAGTGAATTCCAGCTAGCCTGTGATTCACATACATGCATGCATGCATTCATGCATACATACATACATACATACATACATATGTGTGTGATATGCATCCATAAATATCAAAATAAGAAATATTCTTAGTTTCTTAATTTTTGAAACTGTTCATGTAATTATAGCTGGTATTTATAGCTTTCTTCTATGATGAATTCAGCACCCTATTAACATTCATTTGGTTAAGATTCTTCACCTATTGAAATGACCCATCCCTGTGTTCCTGGAAGGTCTGGACCATAAGCAATCCTGCTTGAATTAGTGTTTTATAAACTCCTATTGAAAATAATTCCAGGAAGTACTAACAGGCAGCCTAGAGAATTTCTTTTCTATTCTGTTTTGATAAAGCTCCATGACCAAGGCCACTCCTAAAAGAAAGTATTTATTTGGGGCTTACAATTTCAGAGAGCTAGAGCCCATGATGATAGAGCAAAGGCATGGTAGAAGAAACAGCTGAGATCTTACATCTTGATACTCAAGTAGAAGGCATAAAGAGGAGTGGGGAGACAAAGAACTGTAACGGTACAGTCCTTTGAAGTTTCATAGCCTACTCCCAGTGACACACCTCCTGATCCTGCCCAAACAGTTCCACTAACTGGGAACCAAGTATTTACATAAGCCTGTGAGGACTGTTTTCCTTCAAACAACACACAGATAATTTTTCCTTACTCACCATGTCAGGGCAGCTCAGTTTTCATTTGGAAATAAAGATCTGTCATTCAAAGAAGAGAGTAGCAGCATTCATTCCCTGTTGCTTCAGGAGCATCGGAAGATCACAGTGGAAAGATGTTGGTTTCAATTCTCATTTCTGTAGCATTCTTATTGTGGTACCAATGAAATACTCCTTTTTTTTGGAACCAAGACCTTAGAGCAGAGCAGAAAGAGCCTGAAGTCACAGAAGTGGGAAACAGCTGTTTTATTAGTAAGTCACTAAGGGTAACAGAAGTTAGTCCCACTTCTATTCCTTCATTCTCAGAGCAAAATAAATGGCTGCTTATTAAACACTGGCTTAGATGACACACTGTTTCAGCTCCACCAGTCGCTGCTACCTAACAGGCATCACAACTGAGTGACAGCAGGGAACATGGTGAGGCCATGGAGTGCTGGCACACCTCATGCTCCCCCTTGCCTCTTCCTGCTCACTCTGCTGAAAACCAGCCGCTGTGCTACAAACTACTCTGTGGAGAGACTGGCATGGGAAAGAACTGGTGTCTCTGGGAAAAAGCCAATAAGGACTTGAGGTCTGCGGCTGCCACGTGAGTGACTTTGCAAGAGGATTCTCCCCAAGTTGAGCCATGAGTCAGCTGCAGCCCCGGGTTGATTGTTGCCTCTTGAGAAATCCCATGCAAGATCATTCAGCTAAACTGTGCTTAGATTTCTGACCCACAGAAACTGAGGTGATAAATATTGTTTAGGGTATGATTCACTCCACAGGCAGAGATAGTTAATATTGCAAATTTCAACTTCAACTCTGGTGGTCACTATCCTCTATGCAAAAACGCCATCATGTACTTATTTAGGGTAAAGCCTTATGAGGCTTACCTTCTGATACCGTGGGCCTGCAGGGCAGTTCTTTAGAAAGACATTTAAAAACTCACCAAAAATCATGTTTGCACCCCTCCTTCCCTCCTCATCCCACTCCCCTGTTAGACTTTGCCCCCTCCCACCCAGTAAAGCATGTTTTCATTTTTCTCACGTGTGCACTGTCATCTAAATTATTCAGCTGCTTTCTTGCCAGATTTTTGTTTTTCT